CCCCAAAACCCCAAAACCCCAAAACCCCAAAACCCCAAAAGGAAATAAAATTATATTAATAAAAATTTAAATGGACGAGATTGTAGAGACCTACAAAGGACAAGATCTCCGCGTACAGGAAGAGATAGAGGAAGAAAAGAAACGGCTTGAAGATGAGGATGAGGATGACATCCTTTCGCATCTCGACTATAAAAAGCTTGAGAAAATCAGTGAAGATTTTAAGAAAAATCCTAAAAAGGGCCTTACATTGCTCGAATACATTAAAGTCATGCTCAAGCATCTCGAGGATATTAAGGACAAAGTAGGATTGGTTAAGAACTTAATTGAGCTATTTAAACAAATTGATGTCAATGGTGATGAAGAATTAGAATGGGATGAGTTCTCAAACCACATTATTGAACTCGGTATGGTGAGAAAGGATAAGACATTCATTGACGCAATCAAATAATTACTATGCAAGCGATATTACAGATGATGAGAAACATGATACAAAGATCGAACATTTATATTTCATTGAGAAGTTAAAACATTTGCTTGTCATGGAAAGAGATAGCAAAAGGTTCAAAGTTTATGACACCAAGACTGGCAAATTCAAACAAAATGTTCCAGATAAAAGCGGGTAAATTACATAGTTTATCTTTAGACACGGTGGAGGTGCTGTCATTGGTGCTGACTACATTGAGTCAGAGAACCTTGTGGCCACTACTTCGAACAACAACTCGATCAATCTCTGGGACTCCAACAACTATATGCACAGAGAAAGAATTCCGACTTCTGAGATTCAGCTTACAGTCAAGTGGTGAGAGCCAAGCAAAAGACTGTTCACAGGGGGCTGTGATTCAGTTATTCATGCATACGATGTGTCTGAGCTGAAGGAAATTGGAGTGCGTGAAGGATGGAACCCTATGAAGAAAGACAAAGTGCAGCACGAAGGACCCATTCTGGACTTGCTTCCAATTCATGACCAAGGTGTTTTGGTATCATGAGGAATAGACGCACAAATATGACTGTGGAACTTGAAGAATTTGGAAGGGAAACACACATTAGTGGGCCATCAGCTGGGTGTTTACTCTCTTGAATGGTACTCAGATACAAATATTTTACTTAGTGCAGGGCTTGACCATGACATTTATATTTGGAATCCTTATGTAGAGCATAAAATTTTCTTACTCAAAGGGCATAATCATTCTCTTGTTGGAGTAAAGCATCTGAAAGGAACCCACCAAATCATATCAGCTGATATCAGTGGTATGTTTAGAGTGTGGGATGTTAGGACGTTCACGACAATACAAGTATTCAATAGTCCTTTAAGCGAGATTAATTGTTTTGCTTTGACATATCCTCCAAAAAGGATTGTTGCCGGAGGAAGGAGGCTTGCATTTTATGATTATGATGAACCTACAGGTAAATATTAACAATTAATCTATAGATCATCACCTTGCTGATGATAATCATTGATTGTGAGTACTCTATAACCCAGTATTTTACACATTCATTACTGCTCATCCTAAATGCATCAAGGTTTGGGATGCTTGAACTGGTAAACTCCTCAGTGTATTCAGAGAGCTTTGAAAACATGATATCACATGTATGTGACTGGATGAGAGAAACAGAAAACTTTTCGTAGGTAATTCCAAGGGAAATGTGTTTTCAATCAATATTAAAAACGGTGCTCATATGAAGAAATTCGAAGATCATAAAGGAGATGTCAGCTCACTTTTTTACTGGGGACATAAAACTACCTTGTTATCTGCTTCATGGGACAAAACTGTCAAATCTTCAGATGATTCTACATCTAAACCTGAAGGAGATCCTAGATATTGCATGGATAAGCATAGACAGGCTGTAAACTTTATCGACTTCAAGGCTGACCAAGCCATATGTGCAAGTGCTTCAGATGACGGAACAGTGATCATCTACAACTATGGGTCATACAGACAAGAGGGTATCTTGCAGCCTCATCAATTACAAGTGAAGATTTGTAAATTCTTGGAGCCATACAACATTCTTGCATCTGCAGATCTTTATGGGTACATTTACTTCTGGGGAATCATGCCTTCTGCTGCCAAGAACGAGCTCCTGTGATGCGTCAAAGATGACATTGAGTCTGAAGTAGGAACTATTGAAAACTTCCCAATCAGAGCTATGGACTTTGACAGTGAGAGCAAGATTCTTTACACAGGTGATGAAATGGGAAATATGTATCAATGGGATGTATCAAACTTAATTGAAAAATTGAGCAAATTTGATCAAGAAATTATTGACAAAAAGAAGACTGGACTTGATGTGGCAGAATTCAAAAAGACCTTGAATCAATTTGAGAAAATGGATAATCTAGATCTTCCCTATGACTCTCATGAGGAAAGAAAAGCAGAAGTTTATGAGGAAGAAAAATCAGAGACTTTCCTTACGACTCCAAAAGTAGGACCAGATGGAGAAAATTCAACTCCAAAAATTGCAAGCGAGAGTAACCTCTCTTCTCACAAGGACGTATTCCTGAAGGAAAGATGGAAGGCTCATCAAGAAGGAATCACTTGGATAACCTTCAATCAGGATCCTAAGTTTGTCGCTACTTCAAGTTTCGATAAAAATGTGTACATTTGGAACGACCAATGTGAAAAGATAGGCTCTTTAGTCTTGGGCCATGATAAAAAGTGGAACATAGTAATTGATAAAACAGAAGCAGAACAGAAGAAAATAGAGGAAGCTAAAGACATGTTCGAGGAAGCACAGAAGGAAAACAGCAGCAGTGCTGAAGGAGACAGTAAAGAGAAAGATCTCAGAGCAATGGAAGTGCTCAGGAAGTACCATAGGGATAAGAATATCAGGAAGAAGTATGAGATGGAATTTTAAGCATGTTTGAACCTCCCTTTCAACCTAGGATTATTGGAAAGTACAGTATAGCATCAGAAGTTAGCTTGAGGCGATTGTAATAATTCAATTCTAATCCTAACATAAGGGGTTTTGGGGTTTTGGGGTTTTGGGGTTTTGGGG